AGAACAGACCCATAGCTGACCCTCCAGTGGGCTTTCAAAGACAGCAAAGAGCATTGAAGGAGATTGTCCATCTTTCTTAAGCAGAGCAGCTAGTAGATTTGAACCACATACCTTTGCATTGGTGGTCCAGGTCCTCACCATTGAGGTACCAGAGCACAGAATATACAGTTAATAAATGCAAAGGGCAAGTGATGAATAAATATTCATCTGGACTGATCTCATTGACTCCAGTGACTTCAAGATGATTGTTGCTGTTGTTATGTGCAGTTGAGCCGCCTACGACTCATAGCGACACTACGTACAACAGCCCTAAACCCTGCTCTATTCTGTGCCAATCTTGTAACTGAATCAGTCCATCTCATCAAGGATCATCTCCTCTTGCGCTCTCCCTCCCACTCCAAAGCGTGACGTCCCTCTCCAAGGACTGGTACCTCCTTGCCTCATGTCCAAAGTATGTCAGACGAAGCCCCAGAATCCTTGACTCCAAGGAGTAGCCTGATTTAACCCTCTCCAGGATGAATCTGTTTGTTTTCTTGGCAGTCCATGGTACATTCAATACTCTTCTCCAGCACCACAGCTCAAAGGCGTCAATTCTCCTTCTATCATTCTCCATAGTCATTGTCCAACTCTCTGATGCACAGCAAGTGATTGCAAAGATGATGGACATACACTTGAAATCCCCCTGGTGCAGGTCTAACTCTAGTTTACTATAACCTGTGTGACAACATAGAGAAGCCAATTGGGGTGGGAGTAGAGGGGTCAAGAGCCATCCCAGCCACGCAAGATAAGGATGTAAGCTCCAGAGTCGGCGTCCTGTTGTTAGGGAGGGTGACTGTAGCAGACCTCAGTAAAGTAGATCTGGCTCTGTAGGGTGATGGTGACTGTGTTTGGAAACAGGCAATAGAAGCTTGAAACAGTTGGGAAGCCCTTGAAATAAGTACCCATCATTTGTTCTGAGGTGGGAGTCGGGCAGTGACTGCAGGTCCTTCTTTCTCATGGCATGAGAGGGGCAGACTTTCGACTACAGACTTCTTTTTTTTAATTTTTTTGTAATTAATTTTTTATTTTAATTGTAAATTTAAGTCTAAAGAAAAGTTAGGTTTTTGTTCATTCATTCATTCATTCATTCCGTCATTGTTGCACATTTTATCCCCTCTCCTTCCCTTTCACCTCTCTCACTTCACTTTATTTAATAGTCATTAATTTTTGCACAATTACCTCCCTCCTCACCCTCAGTCCTCTTTACAGTGTACCCCTTATTCTGGGCTGTTGTCATACGTATAATGCCTAATCATATATTCCTTTTAAACAATTCTTTCCCTCATCTAGTCCAATGCAGTGTTCATTATCTATCCACTCTTACTCTATTCTCCTCCTAATCTCCCATGTCAGACCTGCTTTATAACAGTCGGGCTATGCAGTATTTGTCCTTTTGTGACTGAGACATTTCACTCAGCATAATGTCCTTCAGGGTTCCTTGTCTTGGGTAATGCTTTACGAGTTCATTGATTTTCAGTGCTGTGTAGTATTCCATTGTGTGAGTAGACTTTGAACAGGAAGTAAAGAAAGCAGGTAGAACAAACGCAAAGTCTGTTAAGGTGTGTGGTACCAAACAAGTGTTTCTCCTGCCTGTCCTCATAGTAGTTCTCTCTAGAAATAACCACAATTACCAATTATTCCATTTATCTGAGGCATCTATGTAGATGTTTCATATTTGGGATGTGCATTCCTCGGTTTATGAGTCAATAAATGGACTTAATGGAAGTGATTGAGGTTTGACATATCTACTTTATGTGTGTGTGTGTGTGTGCGCGCACGTGCACTTAATACAGTATATACTGACTGTACTGACTTTTGCTTTTTCCTTTTCGTTCACAACTTCATCAACAGCTTCTTCTGTAGTTCTACTTTCATTTTTTAATGTCCTCAAGACCCCAAACATAGAACTGCCTGGGATATTGATGGCACCCAATATTTGTTTCCTGAGTGAATGCATGAATAACTTAATAATCTCTCTATGGCGCTAAATCAAAAAGTCATCCACCAACAAGTTTTATACATGTCTTATTGTCATCCCATTTCCAAGATGTGCCTTTTTTGGCAATAAGCATCAAGTCTCTCCTTCCAAGGTCATCTCTTCACATTCTTTCTGCAGGAAAATTTCGTGAATATTGACAACCAATTTTCTCCAGGATTATCTCTAAGTAGATTGTCCTCTTATTGTTACTTGTTCACAGGATAGCCCCGAAGATGTGAATACTGTTGTTGTTATGTGCCGTCGAGTCGTTTGCGATTCATAGCGACCCTATGCGCAACAACCCTAAACCCTGCTCTATCCTGCACCAACCGCACCGCCTCTGATACACCCATCCCAATTACCCCAGTCACCGAATCAATCCATCTCATAGAGGGTCTTTTCCTCCTGCGCTGCCCCTCCACCCTCCCAAGCATGATGTCCCTTTCCAAAGACCCGTCCCTCCTGGCAACATGTCCAAAGTATGTCAGACGAAACCCCAGAATCCTTGCCTTCGAGGAGTAGCTTGGTTTAATCCT